GAAAAAAAAGTCATTTTCCTTTTCAGGTCACTATAGAAGAATTAACTGATCTTGTTGTCGAAACTGGACAAAATGCATAAAAGTTAAGTTTTCAGACAAGCTGAACTTTCCATCAGTCATGCTTCGGATGTTCACGTTTTGTGTACAGAGAGTCGTGATTACAGAAAACAGATGGTGCCATTCTCCAAGACCTTCTGGGGGAAAACTACCGGGTATAATGTGACATGTGTCATAACAGAATATAATGAGCTGACTGATGGGATTTGAACCATATGTGACGGTGAATGGGTGATAAGAGCAGAACCACTTTTCAGTTTATTTAAAGGTCAACTCAAATGAAATGCTTCATTTCTCGCTTTGGCCTTGTTCATTTGCTCACTGGGTGTTATCTGTGTACTGAGACTTTGCTATCAGCTTGGCCCATAGCAGTAAGGACGTGGGCACAGCCCCTGCCTGCTTTAATGGGGTTTACAATTTAGCCCATACTCATCTTTAGAAGGACTCAAAGTAAATCTAATCCCACCACTTAGAACAAAAGCAACATGTCCAAACAATAATCAGAGAAATACACATAACTCCCCAGGAAGATCAAGCATGAAGTGGATGAACCCAAGAGGCAGTCTTACTGATCTCTAAAGCAGAGGAATGAGACTATTTCAGACCTTTGTAGACCACAGGCTTTTGGGTGTTAGGGGCTCCTCTCCAAACCATACTACCACATGAAGGAGAATTTCTGCTTTAAAAAAATCGAGAATATTTAAAAAATATAATTCAGCTTTTCAAATTGTTGGACTATGAGTAACTCATTTAATTTAGAATTGCCTATGAGTTCTTGGCAATCATAGGACATATTTAGAAATCTTTTCAAAGGAAGAAAAATCTAACCTACAAATTGTTTTCAAATGTAATAAAATATTCCTAAGGCCTAAATATAATAACGAGATTGACATGATATTGTTTTCTACACATTTGTCTGCTTATTAATTTCCATTTTGCAGTTTTTCTGTTTTATAGTTTGTAGCCAAAGTTTTTTTATTCGGCTCTCAAACATTCTTGTAGGCCCCGGGCATTCTGCCCACGATGCCTAATGGATAAAACGGCCCTGCACACAAACCCAGAGTGAAAAAGACCAATGAAATTAAGGAAAGGTGTCAGTGTATATGGTTTCCAGATAACTTTGGGAGTTCTTTTCCACTCTGTGCAAAAATCTCGTAGAACCAGGGAGCCACACACGCAAAGGGAACAGCCTAGGTGCTGGCATTGAGGTATTTGCATATTTGGTGTATAGTGAGAAACAAACAGGGCTGATGCAATTCAAAATGAACTCTGAAGACGAAAGAAGAACAAGGGGAGGCGGACTAATACTGTTAAGCCCCTGCTATGCTAAGCACTGGGCCAGGTCCTTTCTATGTGTTATTTCACTTCAGTCTCACAACAACCCTATTATTATTCCCATTGTATGTACAGGTGAAGGAAGCAAAGCCTACAGAAGTTCAGTAACTTGCTGAGGAGTAATAGCTCTGAAGAAACAGAACCAGGAGTCAGCCTATCCCCAGTTCTCTCTATTCCCCGTTCTCTTTTCACAATACTCGTGTTGTCCTCTCATTTCACGAAAGGGTGGGGACTGTACTATATGATTATCTCTCCCTAACCGCTGATTTAATGAATGACAAATGCCTTTTGATATGGATGGGATGCAAGAAGGTGGGTAGAGGCTGGAATTTCCCAGAGAGCAAAGTTGTAGTGATAGAAGGCAGAATTCACTTTTTTTTCTTTCCCTCAGTGATTCATTAGTAGAAAAAACTGTGGTGGATAAAATTTCTGAAGCCAATAGTCTGTTTGCAGACTATTGTTGTGAAGGGAATCTTTAATCATGGAAAGTCCCGAATCACAATCAGATTGGAATAAATCCAACCCCTACATGGTCCCTTCACAGCGTTTCTCAGTGTGGAGTCCTGGACTGCCTCCCCCAGAACTATCTAAGGAGTTTGCTAAAATGCAGAACCCCAGGCCTGGGTTTAGAATCCCAGAAAGGCCTGGGGATATGCATTTTAATTCACGTTCTTTCCATCTCTGGGTGATCCTTATGATCTCTAAAATTTTAAAACCATACTTTAGTGGTTCAGAACAAGATTCCACTATCTCCTCTTTCTTCTTTAATAGATTTTAAGGATCACAGTTTAAACTACCAAGAACATCTAGTTCTGGGTCCACCACCCTTTTATAGATGAGATATTTGAAAAGAAAGTAGGCATGGGACTATTAAGCTACAATGAGAACTCACCCACCTCACCCTCGGGCTGATCCCCCTAATGTACTGGGATTAACTCTTGGGGCTTTTGCCTGAATCATTAGGATATCTGAAAATGTCTGAATTAGAAGCTTACACTGAGGGAGATGTTGATAGAAGTTTTTAAAACAGCTGCTATTACCTAGAAGGTTAAAGTTACCTCTTAGCAGCCAAGTCATCTCCACTAGGAAGGAAGAAAGGGAACCAAGTGGGGAAAGAAGGAGAAAGAGGAGGAGGAGGGGGGGAAGAGAAGGAGAAAGAAAAGAGGAAGAAGGAAGAGTGGGAGAGGAAAGGGAGGAGGACAAACTCACTCCCATGGGCAGGGGGATTTGTAAGCCAAAGGTCTAGTGAGTAGGACAGAGGTAGGCAGCTTAGAGAACCAAAGGCTCTAAGATGACTTACAGGTGCGGTCAGGATATCCTGCAGAACACTTAGTGTTTGGCAGGAAAGAGCCTCCTGCCCTTCCCATTCTCACATGTTACCACCCCAGGCCCCCACTGCTCAAAGCAGCTCAGGGCTCCAGGGGTTCTCTCCTCCTGAGCTCTGATCAAGTCTCCAGGTCTGCTGGCATTCCCTGAAAGGTCTGGCAGGGGTCCTTTTCAGAAATTGGCTTCCTCCTACAGAAATCATCTACCCACCTTTTGTTAACTGACTTTAGAATTAAAAAAAAAAAACAAACAAATATAACATTGAGTTCAAGTGCCCAAGGGTAACCCTAGCCCCCAACATCAAGCCAAGGGAAGGCGTGGTGAGACTCTCTCCCCCCTAACAGGATGGAGAGTCATAGAGTGAATCTGCAGTGTAGTGACAGCAAATAAAATGGGAAGAAGTCTGAGGTTTTAGGTTTTTCAGACTTGGAAATAAAAAGGTTGAGTCTAAAAAAAGAAAACATGTTACCTTCCTGCCAAAATAAACTGTGATGAAAGTTTAGACCCCACCACCTTTCAGCCAAGCATTTCCTGTTCTGGTCTCCCCTGTCTGCCTCATACTAGCTCAGATGAAGGGAGAGCTATTTTTAAGGTGCAAACAACCAGGACCAAGAATTAGAGACGTTATTTATTTATAGTTACACCTTTCAACTGTTCTTTTTCTTCTCTGGAGACAGAGGCCTGGTTTGGCTTTCTCTTTGAACTTGAAATCTATGGGGTAATGACTTTGAAAGGTCATGGCCAGTCTATCTTTGTGTCATGGACAGGAATCATTGGCTTGGGCAACACAAGTCAGAAAGCTGTTCACCACTTCTTGAGGGATTCTTCCTAATGTGCACACACTCAGGTTAGGCACACGTGCTCTGAGAACTGTCTGGTAAAGCATACTTTAGGTATAAGAGGTAATTTGGATTCATTTGTGGTTTTGTTATTTAAGAAATCCAACAGCAAATCCCCCTCACTGTTTTACAACACAGGATTCCATTATCAGGCAAATAGATATTTCCTCATTTACATGGATTTGTAAATTTAGATTTTGTACTGGATTTTCTTGAGGCACTGCACCAGTATATGTAGTGTTTTAAGAGCCAACAAGCTCTTTCTGGCATGAAGGTGCATCTTTTGTTATTCAGAAGTGTTTTCTTAGTCTGTTAAATTGTCCCATTCTTAACACCAAACCTACCGACCCTTGGAATTTGCCAGTAAATAAAAGAGAAAAGCCCTCCCTTGTAAGGCTCACATAAGCATCATCTCAGGTTGTGGCTGTTACCCCCACCAGCTCAATGACATTATTTTCTTCCCAGCACCAGACAGAACAGTTTGCTTCTGTTCCCCCACTACAATGTAAGCACCATGAAGTCTCTATTCGCCCTTTAACTCATCACTGTATCACAAGCATCAAAATATACTAGATGCTTAAAATTCATTCAATTAACAAATTTCTATTTATCTCAAACTGCTAAGGCATTTGGAAGCATATAGAGTGCTGAAGAGGTCGGTCCTTACCTTTCATCTTTTTTTTAACATGATGCCTTTCCAAATATCTTAGCTCCACTATTTTCACACACTGGCTCAGGCATTATTGTAGAAATTACTTGAAGAATAAGAGGATGGCTCCTTTCTAAATACAAGTATCTATGTGTTTTAAATGAGTCAAACTGTTAGCTAGCAACTCTGAAAAACAAGTTGGTTGGCATGACCCACACTCCCAGCTTCCTCGCTTCCTCTGCTTCCCGTGGGATCTTTGTGCAGCCAGGCCAATGGGGTTGTGACTCAGCTTTTGTTGAAAGGAGGGTCCTTGCTGCATCACTGTGCTTGTACAAAATTTGGGTGGAGGGGAATGGAGGAGGGGAAATAGAACAAATATAATGGCATAATCAATAATAAAAAGTTTAAAAAATTTTGGTGCCTTGTACCACTTAAGGAAGAAATAGAAAAGACTGGAAACTATTTGAGTGCAGAACTTAGATCTGAAGGCAGATCTATTGGAGACATGGAGAGGAACAACTTAACGATCCCATATAAACTGGAATGGCACAGAAACTTATTATGGCCTTTGATCAACAGTAATTGGCACCTAGTAGGAATTCCAGAAAGTTCTGCTGACCAATGAACGGAAAAATGATGCAAAAAATAATGCCAAGCTAGGGTATTTAGATATACTTACTTCTTGGAAGACATACTTAGAAGGGCCAAGTTCTTATTTTGGGAACATTTCTATTGCTCTGAGTGCAAAGGACAATAATAAATTGGAGTAAAATTTAGGTCAGTTGTCCACTCACCTTTTTACTAAAGTGGGGACCATTAGTACCCCCAATGCCTCTTTGCACAGATGGTGGTACTTGATACACATCTTTTTCCTGGGTACCATGGCCAATGGGTACTTGATAAATTCCCTGATTTTGGTAGGAAGGTGGCACTTGGTAGATTGTTTCCCGAGGAGCACCCTGTGGGTTTGGCACTTGATAGAGCTTCTGTTGGCCAAAGGTCTGGTGAATCAGTCCAGGAGTAGGCTGGTCCTGACTGGAGGAGGCCTCTTGCATGGGACCAATCAGGAGCTTTACCCGGTTGCCTGGGACAATACCTTGCCGACCATGTAAGGAACAGAGCCACCATCCTTCCAGTCCTCCGGTGTTCTGCTCTATGACAGTGAGGATGTCTCCTTTGCGAAAGGCCAGTTCCTCAGCACACTCTGGAACATTGTCATATAAGGCTCTTGCCATAAGATTCTAGGAAGGAAAGAACAGAGGGAAATCATCTTAGACTATTAGCTTAGTCCCTTTAACACCTAAAGCCCTTCCTCTTATGGAGAGGCGCACCTCCTGAAAGAAGAGAAGAATGAATCTAAACGATAGCCTGTAAGGAGAAAACCAGATGGTGCAGACAAAAGACAGATACATACATTTTGTGTCTGCCACCAATGACCTCAGACTGCCTCCTTGGAAAAGCTCAAAACACCACAAGAGAGCTTTCCTCTAGCAGTAGATGCTGTGCCAAGGAGTTATGAGTAGCACTGCTAAAGAGTCAGAGAGTAGTTCAATATACAAAACATTTTTCTTCCTTTCTTAAAGCCAGCTTAAGGAATAAAATAGTCCAAGATATTCACATGTAGTACAACTTACATTTCTCATTTTTTTCATGAAGAGTTAAAGAACTTCCCTGATAACAAACAGTACAAATGGCATTTACATTTGGTGTTAAAATGGAAACAACAGTACACATATATATGCTTTGGCAGTGGTTAAAATTTTTTATTCTCAGTTGATCACAAGGTCCTTAGATACAGGAAGAATCTCCAAGCAAGCGTTTTTTTGTTTTTTTTTTTTCCATGATTATGGAGCATGGAGCATAGTGTGATGGGAGTCTCTATCTCCAGATTTGATGGTGGGGAGCTACAAAGAGTGTATCACACATAGGTAGATGCCATCTCTCTCTGTTGGTCTTTTATTCATACCTTTCCTGAAGGCCCCTCTTCACCCTGCCACTATTTCCTACTACTAGAGTCTCGCCATTCACATCAGAAAGGGTGTGCCTTCCCCTTTCAGGGACCCAAAACACTTTCTCTCTTTGTATGAAGGCCTGTCTGGTACATTCAGTACTAAGCAGACAGCCAAAGTAGGCATTCAGCAGAGAGTGGGCAGGCAGTACATGCTGACATTCTTGGAAGCCTTTCAAAGGCTCCAAAGATTTCATTTCTTGGCGTTAGTAATGTTTCGCAGCATGATGGCAGCCATCACCACATGCGTTTTCCTTCCCGGGACACAGAGGAGTCAGGAAACGTTGTAAATTCACCACAAGCACTTGGAAAACTAGAAGTGATCTCTCCAGAGCTTCCCTAAAATGTCTGGGCACACTAATAGATGTTATTGTGATGATGATCATTTGGGGGAGGAGGGGCTGCTGACTGCATGGAGCATGTTTGTGACTTCACGTAAGAGTGGAACTTGGGGTTGTTGTTATTTGGACTTCTGTGCCCTGTTTTTTCTTCTCTAGAAATGTGGACTTCATCTTTGAGCTTGGTGCTTTGCATTCTTTTGTAACTAACATGCATTAATCATCTACCCCTGTACTGTGCCCTGTACCCGCCGCTATTGCTCTGTGAGCTGGTTCTCTGCTATGGAGTGGTTGTACTCTGTAAGGGGTCTCCCCTCTGGTCAGTGGTTGGGAAGGGGCCCTACTTTTACTCTGTTAACTAAACTCCTCTCAGTCAATACAACTATTTAAGCTGAGGAAAGGAGATGAAGCCATAGAAGTCAGTACCCAGGAAGCCTAGTGATGCTCTTTAAGGATAAGGTTAATGTCCTTGTTCTTGAAAGTTTTGAGGTCCAGGAAGGCAAAGTAGCCAAGTAAGCAGTAAGGGAAGCCAAAGGGAAACTGAGGATTTGCATTCCAGGTGAACATTTTACTTAGTATTTATATTCTAGGAAGCTTTGGGTTCCTTTCAACAATTAAAAGTTCACATATATAAAGATAAACTCATGTATCATCTATTCTGCCTTGAGGAACCATTTAAGAATGTGTCATGATCCTAAAAGCTTCTCTGTTTCTCTTTTTTCATCTTGTGGATGCTCTGTAATTTAAAAGAAAAGTCATAGATTACAGAAAACAAGATTCTGGTCCTTTGTGCCAAAATGATTTGAGGGAATTACTCCACCAGAGTGTATTGAGATTATAGAACAGAGAGCTGACCGCCGCGCCCCCCCCCCTCCGCCATACACACACATACCCTGCCCCCAGCCTCTGTTCCTTTTTCCGGGGCCCATTTAACAATTGGAAACGGCTTCTAAGGAAGCCCCAAGATGAAATCAGAAGTGATAAATAGTAGAGACCAGTTCTACAGGAACTAAGGGTAGGTGGCTGTGCACCTTGACTTCAAAGCAAAGTAAGAAAGGAAACAAAACATTGGAAAGGTAAAGGACTACAGACTTAATCAGGATAAATAAGTCGAGGCTTTTGGAGCTGGGCCACTGCCATGGAACTCCATGGGGCACGGACACAGAGCACTGGGCCATGCTTGATCAGAGGTGGCGAGAAGTCCCCGTGTGAGGGCTGTTCTGGATTTTCTTTGTCAGCTGTCCCAGTGTCCTTCCCACCACCTGGTAAGCAGCATGCTAATGTGTCTAGAAGTGCTTCAGGAGCTGCTTCTTTGGGAATACTTTCAGAGCCTGATGTCCTTGCTAATGGAGCCACTGTGGGTGAATTCTCCTATTTGTGCATGATTTCCCAGCAGTCCTCCCTATTGCCTACAGAGATTAGGATTTAGAAAGAGGGTTTGGCATGGCTGTTAGTGCCAGGCCCCCCCCCTCCAGTGCTATCTTGACACCTCCTACACTGACAGATATTTTTTGTCTTGGTTGAAGAGGAGTGAGTTATTTACTATCTGTGTAAGCTACAGGGAGCTAACATCTATACCTAGCCACTCTCCCAAACAAAAGATTCCAGCTCCAGAGACCTTTAGAGACACTTGGACCTAACCTCCTCATTTTATAGACAAGAAAACTGACTAGGGCAGGGGGGAGTCCCATTTTATCATTGGACTAAGGCCACACTGTTGGAGTCAGAGATGAGAACAGAACTCTGGTCTCTTGGTTCAATTCTCTTTCCACCTTAGCTCTAGTATACAGTGTCCTAACGTGGCTCAATTCCATTATATTTCATTCAGTGCAGTTCAAAAGATGACTAATTCTTCTTGTCATTTCTATCAAATAAATAGATTCTTGGGGCTTGGTGTCCTAATTTTGCAACTTGGGCAGATTACCTCTCCCCCTGTGCCTTAACTTCCTCAACTATAAAATGAGAATGTGGATAATAACACCGACTTCATAGGTTTACTGGGAAAATTAAAGTCAAGTACTTTAACACTGTCAGAGACTTAGGAAGTTATTGTTACTTTTTATTTAATTTGCTGGATGGCACTTTGGCCTGAAGCTCCCTACCCTGTTTGCCTCCCCTCAGTTCTCAGTCAGGGGTTCACCCTACACTACTGATGCTATCATATATTTATTTAATACATATCTGATATTTCCCTTGCTTACAATTACATTTAGGAGAATTGTCTCTCAAAACAACATTGCTTTGAATTAATAATGAGTCCTAGGCATCGCAACTTCTTGTCAAGTATTTGCCTACAAACAGCAGCAATAAAACTACTGGTTACATTCAAGAGACCTTCTGAGGCACAATAGCAACACTAATCCTAATGATATTACTGGGTAAATTTTTAAAAAAAAATATTAGATTCCAGCAAAGTACAATCCATGAAAAAGTGGGGGGAAAACACGGCCTTGGCTGTTGAAAATACTTAGTGTGTTGGGGCAGGAGTTCAGTCAGATGATAACAGCAAAATTAACTTTAGACAGAACACAAACCATCTCATTCAAAAGAACATATGCAATTCATAAATCGGCAAGTTAGGAGTTAATTCCTCTGCCCAGGAGGAGGAACACTCTCCTTCAGTGCAAAGGTATGATTCCTGAGGGCCACAGCCTCAGAAGGTGATTATCTGAATATCTTAGAAAAACCTGGGGAAGGCAGATATATTCTTTCTCACCCCCCACCCCCATATTTATCTCCATGGCAGGGAAGGTCAACACAGAAACAAATCAAGGAGAGATAAGAGCGCTATGTAATTCTATATCCAGTTGGATGGTTAACCTCCAGAGATTGGCAGTTAGAAATGCAGCTTGAGATTGGCAAAGTACCAAACAGTTGGGCATGGAACCTGAAAGCCAGAGGAACTTTAAACAATTACAGTCAAACTCTTTTACTTTACAGATGAGAAAAACAAGGCTCAAGAAGTTAATGATTTGCCAAAGTCACTTGGCAAGGTCGTAGAGCAGGGATAAGAATTCAGGCTTCCCGAATCAGAATAGCATTTTTTGAATTTATTAAGTCAAATAATATACCACAAAAGATGTGGTTCTAATCAGGATTGGAAATTGACATTTAGGGACCTGAGTCCTATTTGAGCCAAATACATGGTGACAGAAGACGATTTGACTTTGGATGGTAGGCACGCAGTGCAATATGCAGTTCATGTATCGTAGAAATGTGCACTTGAAACCCAAATGACCATATGAACCAATGTCACCCCAATGAATTTAATTTTAAAAATCCTAATTGAAGGAACCTTAGTTGTAGCAGCCTCCAATATGGATCCCCATCCCACACTTTCTCGAAACTATTCTGGCTTCCACGTTACCACTTCCTGTTTCTCTCTCTTCTCTTGTTCTTAGTTAGGACTACTCATCTTCCTTCTTGTTCACAGAACAAAAAAAAATTGAGGGGGCTCATTCCTTAAATGATCATGTTCCAAAGGGATCTCTCCTTTGCACTTGTTTCTTGCCTATATGCTCCTAGGAAATCTGTAGGACTCTCTATAGGAAATCTCGTCCATGGTGTTGGTATTAGACACAGATAACTCTGATCCATAATCCATAATCCCAGCCTGGATACTGCTGCACTCCAATTCCATGTTTCCAATTGTCTAATGGGTTTCTTTACCTCAAAATTAACAAGTGCAAAAATCCCTTTCTCCTGCTCTATCTTTCTTCATTAACAGTGTGCACACCGCTGCGGAGAGAGTGGCTTCCGAGGTTTTCAGTCTTTTCACAACCTGAAACCCCGTCAGCTTGGACCCTGCTTTCCTACTCACTGTCACTTCTAGTTCAGGCTCTCAGCAACTTTTGGGGGAAGAAGTGGCAATTACTTCCCAATTGGTTTTCCTGCA